GAACCATAATTGAGAAAAATTACTCACAGTCCAATATATTGTAAACCGCGTGAAAGTGTCGCCATATAATCTTGGATGTACCTGTATTAAATAAAATTCATAAAAACACTTGAGATATATTTGAATATAAGTATTAAATTAATAACATGTTTGTTTGAAAAAAACATTAATCTTTATGTGTGTATATTTTTTTTTTTGATAACAAAGGGATCTGAGCATGTGGAATGATAATATTTTTTCTTGTCAAATGCATCAGCACTTGTACGAGAATATTCAAATTTTAGTCCCTCGATATTTCAAGATGAGTTTTCTAACCACTAAACCACCATAAATTAGTTATCCTTTCGTATTAATGAATAGTTATTATATAGTTTTAAAGTAAATTTTATTGAGTATATTGTATTTTTAATAATTATATATGTTTGTAAGTTAATTTTTTTTGGCATTCAACTCAAAATTAATTCGCAGTGAGTAGATTGACCCATGTATCTTATATAGTAATATTGGTCCCTTTAAACTTTCAATATGAGATTTTAACATTATTTATTTTATGAAAGTATATATATATATATATATATTGTCTTATTAAGTTCTTTTTGTAAAATTGAAAGAATGTGGATGAACTATGAAGTACAACTTTTGCTATTTAAGTTTGGTAACAACTTACCGCCAAACCAAATTGTATGCTGTTGAGTTGATCACGAGGTCCATTCTCTAACCAGATTTGATTTTTACTATATTGGTTATTTTGTAGAGTTAAATTATGAATACTTATCATAGCTCCTGCTCCTCGATAGATGCTCCCATCTAAAACATTTTCGATTACTGCAAACTGTACATCCGTGAAAATAAGTCCGATTATTTTAAGAATGTTTTACTTGTATTACAATTATACAAGGAAGGAGAAAAATGCGAGTGCAGATAATCATTTTTTGTGATGTGAGGTGTATAAAAATTTATATAGAATGGTATTGATATTTTAATAAAGTCATGAATAAAAAAAAATTACATGTTGGCCGGGATATTCGAGTGTGTCGAGATGAACGCTCTCAATTCCATTTCTTTGTCTTAAAATTGGTACAGTTCCTTTTGGACAACTTTTATCATTTGTTTGATGATATTCATCTTTTCTTCTAAGCCTTTCTTTCGAATTAAATTTTTCCTAAAGCCATAGCACAATAATAACAAGATTAAAAAATAATATATAGAATTACAAGATTAAATTTACTCTATTACATACATTGTTTTTCACCCTACCTGAATCTTGTGGTGTTTCAACAATGGATGTTGAAAAGCCGGTTGTTTGTATATATCAACACAATCGAAATCTTTTAAAATAGGCTGCAAAACAATTCTTAAGAAATTGAAAATACCAAATTTTAAAGAATCAAAAACAAACTAAAAGTTATGAAATCTCACATCAATGCTTCCAACGGCCGCTTGAGTTAAAAGCAAATAAGAGGATAAACAGAGAACTAGATGTAAACTCATTGTTATTTTATATATATTTCCCCACTTATACATATCGGTATATATACTGATTTGAGTCAAAGCTTAATAAATTTATTGCTATTTTGACTAATAAATTTATTTCTAGTTTAATATCGGTATATATACTGATTTGAGTCAAAGCCTAATAAATTTATTTCTAGTTTGATTAATAATTTTTTTGCTAGTTATATCAAACTTACCAAAGGCTTCAAGTACAAAAAATGTAATGGTAGCTAAACAAGCCACAACACATATTTTGGACTCATCTCCACTAATGGCCCAATGAGTAACCAAACCCCAAATACTATGTGGGCTTTAACTCCAGCCCAAGCCTTCTTAATTGTGACAAAAACACACAATTCTCTTCGTTGACTTTCTTAAGAAGTCACGAGACTTTGTTTCTTCTTTGGCTCCTCTTCTTGTGAGCACTTCTCTTCTTCTTTGCTCTTCTTCTTCTTCTTCTATTAAAGCTTTTCTCTTTTGCAGGTTTAATCAAGGACTGAATTCCCAACGGTATCGTTAGTTTTTACTGAGGTTTTCTTACAATGTCTTAATCATATTGTCTTCTTGTGAAGTTCCGCTTGCTATGGACGAGGTTTGGTTGCTCATAAGTCATAACAATGGATGCGATACAATGTGAGTTTATTTCAACAGCTCAGGTTTCACTATTAACAAAAAAAAAAACATCTTTTTTTTATTCAAAATGACAACGTAAGTTTTATTAATCACATAAAGATAAAGGGAACTACAGAATTCATCTTCTACACAATGGACAACTAGAATGCCATCTAGTTATACAACTAAAATGGAACAGGTGACCGCATTCCAAACTGGCCAATGGAAGTCTAGAGTGGCTAAATTCTTCAAGACATATGGCGCATTCTTCCCCAACTTCGAAATTGAAGTTCTCGATAGCAATAGGTGAATATCTTGGAACAGTCTGTGTCTGATCAGCAGTACCAACATCTGGAATGTTGGTGGGTAAACTCTGCTCAACTAGAGAATTATAATAAGCTATAAAACTAGTGACAATGTAGTATAAGAGAAAACCTAAAACTAAGCTACAGGCTATAGCCAGAGTAACCCAACCAAACAACACCAGTGTTCTGTTCAGGTCAGTTGATTTGTTATTATGTGTCACTGAATCCATGACAAAAACGTAAAGGTAACTTAGAGAGGAAGAAGAAAGCTTTGAGATTTTTTGAAGAACCTGCCCTGTTGTTCTTTTCCACGTCGCTGCTGCGACTCAAACCTTTCTTTTTTTTTTCGTCAGCTGCGACTCAACCTTTTAGAAGATTTGAGTTCTCATCTTTTGTTTAGGTAGGTTACAGAGTAGTGCCGGCGAAACGTTGGAAAGGTGTGCAATTGCAGATATCTAAAGAACCCGGCGAATTCAACTCTACGTGGACAAGGGAAAGATGGTTTTTTTTCTTAAAGTCTCATTATATTGAGAGAAAGAACAAAACAAAAGAAAAGGAGACTCTCTTAGTGAAATGGTTCGCTGGTAAGACGTCCGACTAAAAGAAAGGACTAAACGTTTCCCGTTCGGCGACCTCTTTCACCATCGCAAAGTGAGCTTACCAATCACGCATTTCTCTTTTTCGCCTTCCAATTTAATTTCTTGTTATTCCTCAAATCATTCAGATCTGACTTCGTTGTCAGCGATTTTGCTAGTTTGGATGAGATAAAGTTTGGATTTTTTTTGGTTTTGTTTTTAATCCAAAAACTGATACGTTTGGAAGCTGGATCAGGTAGGTATGGAAGACGACGCTTTAGCTTCCGCCGATGAAAATCATATCGGAGATGGTGACGTTCCTCCAATTACCGGAGGTCCAGATGTCGATGAGTCGCAATCATCTCATCAGATCAATGTCGTCGCAACTGTGAGTTCGTTATATCTCTAAGATTGATTGGAACATTGCTACATTAGATTGATTCTCTTGGTTGATGATAGGAAATTGAGGTAAATTTGATTCATTCCGTAGTTTATAATGTCGATGAGGAAAGGCAGAGTCTTTCGAATCAAAATAACACTGAGCTCCTGATTTTGATGATGATAAAATATCAATTTTATGGATTGATGAGACGTGACTTCTCCAAGAGCAATTGAGGATCGAATGCTGAATCCGTTTGAGCCTCCATCGACAAGTTTCTGAATTGGGTTTCACCAGTCGAGCATTGAGGATGGGAAGAGAGAAGAAGAAGGAAGATGAGCAATTGCGCATATCTTAAAATACACAACATGGATATAGTTTAGTCAATTTTTATTTCTCTTGCAAATTTGATATAGTTTTGGTTGATACATATTTGATTCATTAAGTACCACAATTTCCACCTGGTCCTCCAAAGGAGAAGGATACCCCATTCGACTTGCTATAACCCCAATACGTTAGTCTATAACATTGGTAAGAATCTGCATAAAGTCTTGTTTTCTTATCTTCAATATCGATGCTTTGATAGTTCGAATTCTTAACTTTGACAAATGAAAAATGTGCACTTTTATGATAGTCGATAACTGGAAAATGGCCATTTCCCATTGGAGGACTAATTCCCTCCGGAGATGGAAATGTATTTCCTCCAAAACGTACCAAAGAAACTCCTTTATTTAAGTGAGTAAATAACTCTTTAGGCCAGTAACCAATAACTTCGTCATATAATTTTAGTACCCAATTTCCACTGAAACCATCCTAAATAATATTAAAACAGAAAATAAAAGAAAAACGTTAAACAAAAATCTATAAAATTTGTAAGTATATATGTGATTTGAAGAAGAAACACTGAAGGAATCTTTAAAACTCCAATAAATTCTAATGAGAATGGATTCAAGTAATTCAAAACCTAAATTAAAATTTTAAAATTATGATCTATAGTATAAGAAATAGAAATTCTAGTATTCTCATTAAATATAAAGTAGATAAAGTATTACCTGAAAAACTTGCGGTTTAGTAAAAACTGTTTCTTTACCACCATAAACAGAAGAATCATTAAACGTTGTTCCTATCAAGGGAACTCGAGAAACAGTAATGAAGCCAGGACATTTTGTATTATAGCATCCAGTTCTTTTATAGCCATCTGCCTAATGAATTAAAAAGGTAAAATATATTATGCAAGAAGAAAGGAAAAAATGGTCTGATTTTAATTTTATTGTCACGGTTCTTAACAATAAAATGAAAATGAACTGTTGTATTTATTGCCATGTATACAGAACCATAATTGAGAAAATTTACTCACAGTCCAATATATTGTAAACCGCGTGAAAGTGTCGCCATATAATCTTGGATGTACCTGTATTAAATAAAATTCATAAAAACACTTGAGATATATTTGAATATAAGTATTAAATTAATAACATGTTTGTTTGAAAAAAACATTAATCTTTATGTGCGTATTTTTTTTTTTTTGATAACAGAGGGATCTGAGCATGTGGAATGATAATATTTTTTCTTGTCAAATGCATCAGCATTTGTACGAGAATATTCAAATTTTAGTCCCTCGATATTTCAAGATGAGTTTTCTAACCACTAAACCACCATAAATTAGTTATCCTTTCGTATTAATGAATAATTATTATATAGTTTTAAAGTAAATTTGATTGAGTATATTGTATTTTTAATAATTATATATGTTTGTAAGTTAATTTTTTTTGGCATTCTACACAAAATTAATTCGCAGTGAGTAGATTGACCCATGTATCTTATATAGTAATGTTGGTCTCTTTAAACTTTCAATATGAGATTTTAACATTATTTATTATATGAAAGTATATATATATATATAGATATATATATATATATATATATATATAGTGTCTTTTTTAGTTCTTTGTGTAAAATTGCAAGAATGTCGATGAACTATGAAGTACACATTTTGCTATATAAGTTTGGTAACAACTTACCGCCAAACCAAATTGTATGCTGTTGAGTTGATCACGAGGTCCATTCTCTAACCAGATTTGATTTTTACTATATTGGTTATTTTGTAGAGTTAAATTATGAATACTTATCATAGCTCCTGCTCCTCGATAGATGCTCCCATCTAAAACATTTTCGATTACTGCAAACTGTACATCCGTGAAAATAAGTCCGATTATTTTAAGAATGTTTTACTTGTATTACAATTATACAAGGAAGGAGAAAAATGCGAGTGCAGATAATCATTTTTGTGATGTGAGGTGTATAAAAATTTATATAGAATGGTATTGATATTTTAATAAAGTCATGAATAAAAAAAAATTACATGTTGGCCGGGATATTCGAGTGTGTCGAGATGAACGCTCTCAATTCCATTTGTTTGTCTTAAAATTGGTACAGTTCCTTTTGGACAACTTTTATCATTTGTTTGATGATATTCATCTTTTCTTCTAAGCCTTTCTTTCGAATTAAATTTTTCCTAAAACCATAGCACAATAATAACAAGATTAAAAAATAATATATAGAATTACAAGATTAAATTTACTCTATTACATACATTGTTTTTCACCCTACCTGAATCTTGTGGTGTTTCAACAATGGATGTTGAAAAGCCGGTTGTTTGTATATATCAACACAATCGAAATCTTTTAAAATAGGCTGCAAAACAATTCTTAAGAAATTGAAAATACCAAATTTTAAAGAATCAAAAACAAACTAAAAGTTATGAAATCTCACATCAATGCTTCCAACGGCCACTTGCGTTAAAAGCAAATAAGAGGATAAACAGAGAACTAGATGTAAACTCATTGTTATTTTATATATATTTCCCCACTTATACATATCGGTATATATACTGATTTGAGTCAAAGCTTAATAAATTTATTGCTATTTTGACTAATAAATTTATTTCTAGTTTAATATCGGTATATATACTGATTTGAGTCAAAGCCTAATAAATTTATTTCTAGTTTGATTAATAATTTTTTTGCTAGTTATATCAAACTTACCAAAGGCTTCAAGTACAAAAAATGTAATGGTAGCTAAACAAGCCACAACACATATTTTGGACTCATCTCCACTAATGGCCCAATGAGTAACCAAACCCCAAATACTATGTGGGCTTTAACTCCAGCCCAAGCCTTCTTAATTGTGACAAAAACACACAATTCTCTTCGTTGACTTTCTTAAGAAGTCACGAGACTTTGTTTCTTCTTTGGCTCCTCTTCTTGTGAGCACTTCTCTTCTTCTTTGCTCTTCTTCTTCTTCTTCTATTAAAGCTTTTCTCTTTTGCAGGTTTAATCAAGGACTGAATTCCCAACGGTATCGTTAGTTTTTACTGAGGTTTTCTTACAATGTCTTAATCATATTGTCTTCTTGTGAAGTTCCGCTTGCTATGGACGAGGTTTGGTTGCTCATAAGTCATAACAATGGATGCGATACAATGTGAGTTTATTTCAACAGCTCAGGTTTCACTATTAACAAAAAAAAAACATCTTTTTTTTATTCAAAATGACAACGTAAGTTTTATTAATCACATAAAGATAAAGGGAACTACAGAATTCATCTTCTACACAATGGACAACTAGAATGCCATCTAGTTATACAACTAAAATGGAACAGGTGACCGCATTCCAAACTGGCCAATGGAAGTCTAGAGTGGCTAAATTCTTCAAGACATATGGCGCATTCTTCCCCAACTTCGAAATTGAAGTTCTCGATAGCAATAGGTGAATATCTTGGAACAGTCTGTGTCTGATCAGCAGTACCAACATCTGGAATGTTGGTGGGTAAACTCTGCTCAACTAGAGAATTATAATAAGCTATAAAACTAGTGACAATGTAGTATAAGAGAAAACCTAAAACTAAGCTACAGGCTATAGCCAGAGTAACCCAACCAAACAACACCAGTGTTCTGTTCAGGTCAGTTGATTTGTTATTATGTGTCACTGAATCCATGACAAAAACGTAAAGGTAACTTAGAGAGGAAGAAGAAAGCTTTGAGATTTTTTGAAGAACCTGCCCTGTTGTTCTTTTCCACGTCGCTGCTGCGACTCAAACCTTTCTTTTTTTTTTCGTCAGCTGCGACTCAACCTTTTAGAAGATTTGAGTTCTCATCTTTTGTTTAGGTAGGTTACAGAGTAGTGCCGGCGAAACGTTGGAAAGGTGTGCAATTGCAGATATCTAAAGAACCCGGCGAATTCAACTCTACGTGGACAAGGGAAAGATGGTTTTTTTTCTTAAAGTCTCATTATATTGAGAGAAAGAACAAAACAAAAGAAAAGGAGACTCTCTTAGTGAAATGGTTCGCTGGTAAGACGTCCGACTAAAAGAAAGGACTAAACGTTTCCCGTTCGGCGACCTCTTTCACCATCGCAAAGTGAGCTTACCAATCACGCATTTCTCTTTTTCGCCTTCCAATTTAATTTCTTGTTATTCCTCAAATCATTCAGATCTGACTTCGTTGTCAGCGATTTTGCTAGTTTGGATGAGATAAAGTTTGGATTTTTTTTGGTTTTGTTTTTAATCCAAAAACTGATACGTTTGGAAGCTGGATCAGGTAGGTATGGAAGACGACGCTTTAGCTTCCGCCGATGAAAATCATATCGGAGATGGTGACGTTCCTCCAATTACCGGAGGTCCAGATGTCGATGAGTCGCAATCATCTCATCAGATCAATGTCGTCGCAACTGTGAGTTCGTTATATCTCTAAGATTGATTGGAACATTGCTACATTAGATTGATTCTCTTGGTTGATGATAGGAAATTGAGGTAAATTTGATTCATTCCGTAGTTTATAATGTCGATGAGGAAAGGCAGAGTCTTTCGAATCAAAATAACACTGAGCTCCTGATTTTGATGATGATAAAATATCAATTTTATGGATTGATGAGACGTGACTTCTCCAAGAGCAATTGAGGATCGAATGCTGAATCCGTTTGAGCCTCCATCGACAAGTTTCTGAATTGGGTTTCACCAGTCGAGCATTGAGGATGGGAAGAGAGAAGAAGAAGGAAGATGAGCAATTGCGCATATCTTAAAATACACAACATGGATATAGTTTAGTCAATTTTTATTTCTCTTGCAAATTTGATATAGTTTTGGTTGATACATATTTGATTCATTAAGTACCACAATTTCCACCTGGTCCTCCAAAGGAGAAGGATACCCCATTCGACTTGCTATAACCCCAATACGTTAGTCTATAACATTGGTAAGAATCTGCATAAAGTCTTGTTTTCTTATCTTCAATATCGATGCTTTGATAGTTCGAATTCTTAACTTTGACAAATGAAAAATGTGCACTTTTATGATAGTCGATAACTGGAAAATGGCCATTTCCCATTGGAGGACTAATTCCCTCCGGAGATGGAAATGTATTTCCTCCAAAACGTACCAAAGAAACTCCTTTATTTAAGTGAGTAAATAACTCTTTAGGCCAGTAACCAATAACTTCGTCATATAATTTTAGTACCCAATTTCCACTGAAACCATCCTAAATAATATTAAAACAGAAAATAAAAGAAAAACGTTAAACAAAAATCTATAAAATTTGTAAGTATATATGTGATTTGAAGAAGAAACACTGAAGGAATCTTTAAAACTCCAATAAATTCTAATGAGAATGGATTCAAGTAATTCAAAACCTAAATTAAAATTTTAAAATTATGATCTATAGTATAAGAAATAGAAATTCTAGTATTCTCATTAAATATAAAGTAGATAAAGTATTACCTGAAAAACTTGCGGTTTAGTAAAAACTGTTTCTTTACCACCATAAACAGAAGAATCATTAAACGTTGTTCCTATCAAGGGAACTCGAGAAACAGTAATGAAGCCAGGACATTTTGTATTATAGCATCCAGTTCTTTTATAGCCATCTGCCTAATGAATTAAAAAGGTAAAATATATTATGCAAGAAGAAAGGAAAAAATGGTCTGATTTTAATTTTATTGTCACGGTTCTTAACAATAAAATGAAAATGAACTGTTGTATTTATTGCCATGTATACAGAACCATAATTGAGAAAATTTACTCACAGTCCAATATATTGTAAACCGCGTGAAAGTGTCGCCATATAATCTTGGATGTACCTGTATTAAATAAAATTCATAAAAACACTTGAGATTTATTTGAATATAAGTATTAAATTAATAACATGTTTGTTTGAAAAAAGCATTAATCTTTATGTGCGTATTTTTTTTTTTTTGATAACAGAGGAATCTCAGCATGTGGAATGATAATATTTTTTCTTGTCAAATGCATCAGCACTTGTACGAGAATATTCAAATTTTAGTCCCTCGATATTTCAAGATGAGTTTTCTAACCACTAAACCACCATAAATTAGTTATCCTTTCGTATTAATGAATAGTTATTATATAGTTTTAAAGTAAATTTTATTGAGTATATTGTATTTTTAATAATTATATATGTTTGTAAGTTAATTTTTTTTGGCATTCTACACAAAATTAATTCGCAGTGAGTAGATTGACCCATGTATCTTATATAGTAATGTTGGTCCCTTTAAACTTTCAATATGAGATTTTAACATTATTTATTTTATGAAAGTATATATATATATATTGTCTTATTAAGTTCTTTGTGTAAAATTGAAAGAATGTGGATGAACTATGAAGTACAAATTTTGCTATTTAAGTTTGGTAACAACTTACCGCCAAACCAAATTGTATGCTGTTGAGTTGATCACGAGGTCCATTCTCTAACCAGATTTGATTATTACTATATTGGTTATTTTGTAGAGTTAAATTATGAATACTTATCTTAGCTCCCGCTCCTCGATAGATGCTCCCATCTAAAACATTTTCGATCACTGCAAACTGAACATCATGTGAAAATAATTCAGATTATTTTAAGAATGTTTTACTTGTATTACAATTATACAAGGAAGGAGAAAAATGCGAGGGCAGATATATTCATTTTTTGTGATGTGAGGTGTATAAAAATTTATATGGAATGGTATTGATATTTTAGTAAAGTCATGAATAAAAAAAAATTACATGTTGGCCGGGATATTCGAGTGTGTCGAGATGAACGCTCTCAATTCCATTTCTTTGTCTTAAAATTGGTACAGTTCCTTTTGGACAACTTTTATCATTTGTTTGATGATATTCATCTTTTCTTCTAAGCCTTTCTTTCGAATTGAATTTTTTCTAAAACCATAGCACAAGAATAACAAGATTAAAAAAATATATATGTATAGACCTTCAAGATTAAATTTGCTCTATTACATACATTGTTTTTCACCATACCTGGATCTTGTGGTGTTTCAACAATGGATGTTGAAAAGCCGGTTGTTTGTATATATCAACACAATCGAAATCTTTTAAAATAGGCTGCAAAACAATTCTTAAGAAATTGAAAATACCAAAGTTTAAAGAATCAAAAAAACAAACTAAAAGTTATGAAATCTCACATCAATGCTTCCAACAGCCACTTGCGTTAAAAGCAAATAAGAGGATAAACAGAGAACTAGATGTGAACTCATTGTTATTTTATTTATATTTCCCCACTTATAAATATCTGTATATATACTTATTTGAGTCAAAGCTTAATAAATTTATTGCTATTTTGACTAATAAATTTATTTCTAGTTTAATATCGGTATATATACTGATTTGAGTCAAAGCCTAATAAATTTTATTCTAGTTTGATTAATAATTTTTTTGCTAGTTAAATCAAACTTACCAAAGGCTTCAAATACAAAAAATGTATTGCTAGCTAAACAAACCACAACACATATTTGGACTCATCTCCACTACTGGCCCAATGAGTAACCAAAACCCAAATACTATATGGGCTTTAACTTCAGCCCAAACCTTCTTAATTGTGACAAAAACACACAATTCTCTTCGTTGACTTTCTTAAGAAGTCACGAGACTTTGTTTCTTCTTTGGCTCCTCTTCTTGTGAGCACTTCTCTTCTTCTTTGCTCTTCTTCTTCTTCTTCTATTAAAGCTTTTCTCTTTTGCAGGTTTAATCAAGGACTGAATTCCCAACGGTATCGTTAGTTTTTACTGAGGTTTTCTTACAATGTCTTAATCATATTGTCTTCTTGTGAAGTTCCGCTTGCTATGGACGAGGTTTGGTTAAACTCACAGTCCGGTATATATACTGATTTGAGTCGAAGTCTAATAATGGCCCAATGAGTAACCAAAACCCAAATACTATGTGGGCTTTAACTCCAGCCCAAGCCTTCTTAATTGTGACAAAAACACACAATTCTCTTCGTTAACTTTCTTCTTCTTCTTCTTCTTCAGTCACGAGACTTTGTTTCTTCTTTGGCTCCTCTTCTAGTGAGCACTTCTCTTCTTCTTTGCTCTTGTTCTTCTTCTCATTAAAGCTTTTTCTCTTTTGCAGGTTTAATCAAGGACTGAATTCCCAACGGTATCGTTAGTTTTTACCGAGGTTTTCTTACAATGTCTTAATCATATTATCTTCTTGTGAAGTTCCGCGTCCTATGGACGAGGTTTGGTTGCTCATAAGTCATAACAATGGATCCGATACAATGTGAGTTTATTTCAATAGCTCAGGTTTCATTATTTACAAAAAAAAACATCTTTATTTAATTCAAAATGACAACGTAAGTTTTATTAATCACATAAACATAAAGGGAACTGCAGACTTCATCCTCTACACAATGGACAACTAGAATGCCATCTAGTTATACAACTAAAATGGAACAGGTGACCGCATTCCAAATTGGCCAGTGGAAGTCTAGACTGGCTAAATTCTTCAAGACATATGGCGCATTAATCCCCAACTTCGAAATTGAAGTTCTCGATAGCAATAGGTGAATATCTTGGAACTGTATGTTCAACCTGAGGGACGGTAACAACCCGGACTTAAGAAGGAGGGTTCTCACCGGGGAGATTTCACCGGAGAAACTCATCACATTGTCTGCTGAAGAAATGGCAAGCGACAAGAGGAAACAAGAGAACAATCAAATCAAAGAGAAAGCCCTGTTTGATTGCGAGCGTGGTCTTGCAGCAAAAGCATCTACCGACCAGTTCAAGTGCGGGCGGTGTGGTCAACGCAAATGCACCTACTATCAGATGCAAACAAGAAGTGCTGATGAGCCAATGACGACCTATGTTACATGTGTTAACTGTGACAACCACTGGAAGTTCTGTTAAGGAGATCTCTGTGTGTCTTTGTATTTCATGAGACCATGTTAAGACATAGAGGCTCTGATTGATTAATCAGGAGCTTCATGTCCATTTGCCATCATTCCGTGAATGTTCCGGCTCCGATGTTTGTTTTAAGGATATCATTCAATGTCTTAGAGATTAGTAAGTAGGGGTATTTACTAATTTAGGTGTTTGTAGCTCTTATTTCTTTTGCTTCTCTTCTTTCAAACTGTCAACTCAACTTTCTTGCAGATTTTACCAAGTTTTGAAGTTTATTTAGTTGAAGAACTTATAAGTTGAAAGAATTCTTATTTTTGTATGTTTTTTTTTTTTTTAATGTTTTGATGAACTTGTTCTTCCATTCCAATCGTTCCAAAAATCCAAACTTTTAAAGCGTATTCAATCAAACGAATCTCGTCCTAGACATATCTTGGTCATCCCAAGAAGAAGAGAAAAAATTATGGTCAAGCAACTAAAAGTCTAAACCCATTTTAAAATTCTAGTGTTGATATATGAGATGAGAATTATACTATATTGATCACTTGCCCAATTAAAAAATATCGTATAGAACAGTCAAGTCAACAACTATAGCTAGGGGCAAAAACGTAATTTAACAATAAGCAACTTGCTCGGTTTTTTCGTTATCACCACTCACATGAACTCTGCATTAAAAACTCTATCTCTCTCAAATCGAAAGGCACAGCCCAACTTTTCGCAAGTCGCTGTAAAGTTTGATTTGCTTCTTTTTATATACACATACTTCTCCTCCATACACTACCTTCCTCTTCAATCCTCAAGTTTTTTTTTATAAACCCTAAAACCATCTCTAAGAAGAGATCAAGATTTGTAATCAAGAAGACACCATTACTCAGATCAACATGCTCGCCGTTCACCGTCCTTCTTCCGCCGTATCTGACGGAGATTCCGTCCAGATTCCGATGATGATCGCGTCGTTTCAAAAACGTTTTCCTTCTCTCTCACGCGACTCCACGGCCGCTCGTTTTCACACACACGAGGTTGGTCCTAACCAGTGTTGCTCCGCCGTTATTCAGGAGATATCCGCTCCAATATCCACCGTTTGGTCCGTCGTCCGCCGCTTTGATAACCCACAAGCTTACAAACACTTTCTCAAAAGCTGCAGCGTCATCGGCGGAGACGGCGATAACGTTGGTAGCCTCCGTCAAGTCCACGTCGTCTCTGGCCTCCCTGCCGCTAGCTCCACCGAGAGACTTGATATCCTCGACGATGAACGCCACGTCATCAGTTTCAGCGTTGTTGGTGGTGACCACCGGCTTTCTAACTACCGATCCGTCACGACCCTCCACCCTTCTCCGATCTCCGGGACCGTCGTTGTGGAGTCTTACGTCGTTGATGTTCCTCCCGGGAACACAAAGGAAGAGACTTGTGACTTTGTTGACGTTATCGTACGATGCAATCTTCAATCTCTTGCGAAAATAGCCGAGAATACTGCGGCGGAGAGCAAGAAGATGTCTCTGTGATGAGTCTTTGTCGTCGTCGAGTAGTTTCGTTAGATCCGACGTTTTCTAGATTTTTAGCCGTCGTGTGATCTATGTTTTTCCGGCTTATGTGTGAAAAAAGTTACATTAGTGAATTAATCTCTTATGCATATCATAATCCTTCTTTTAATTTTTGTATTTTATATCAAGAACCTATTCGGATTAGCCCTATTCCGGCTTTCACCACCCAAAGATAATAATATTCAACTAGAAGAATGTGGTTATGTTGTCCGTTAATTAAAAGTATGATTTTCAAGTTTATTTAATCTTGTTTTTCTATAGTTTCAGCATAAAAAGCGTAAATGAAATGGTCAGTACGTAATATATATACTAAAGATTACAGTATGCGTAATGTTCGACTGATCAGATGTATAATAACTGGTTACATTGAGTTGTTGACCATCTTCATTTATAGATATAATGTGTGTAAATAAATTATGTATAACAGCTTTTGAGAAAATTCGATGATTTTTTTTAAAGGCAACTTTAAATTTGGGCATAATATAATGTGTTCCCTTCCTCTAGGATTTAAATAGTTTCTCCAACTTTTTACTTTCTTATTATTTCATAATGATTAAAATAACCGATTAAGCTTTAAGTTTATATTTAAAGATCAAACAATTGATAGAGACTTTAACAAAAAAAAAAACAATTGATAGAGAAATCAAGATTTGGAGTTTTTACTTGACATATACTATTTCATAGAAAATAAATAGAAAGAGTAGTTGGAAAGGCTTAAAGGTAATGCCTAAAATGGACAAAACATACATGTATTCAAAAATATGAACATGGCCGTCAAAATATAAAATATAAAAAAAATGAACATGTTGATGGAATTAAAGAAATAAGAAATTGCAAGTGGACGATGCTTTGAATGATAACCCAACAAGCCAAGCTGTTCTTTATTTTTATTTTTCCGCTTAATGAAAAAGGAAATGCAAGTTGCAAATTGTTTATCTTTTACTTCTTTCTTTATGATTCTTCCAAAGCCAAAAGATATAAAATTTCTTATAATAATAAAGAAATATGGAATAGAGAGAAGCGCAAGTTGCATGTCCTTTTTACATCACGAGAGTCACGATATGTTTCGTTTACAAGTGATCTCCTAGAATATAAATACATAAATGTGATTTTTTCTATATATTTGAGAGGTTTCTACATTTCTATCCACAAAAAGATACGTGATTGATCGACAAAACATGAATCAAATGAAATGAAAGTTTTTCTTTTCCTTAGATCTAAAAACTTCTACTTTTATGTTTGCAATATCATTATCGAAGTTCACCACAATGGTTACGTAACCATCATGAACTACAAAAATTTCAGTCGATATTAGAATAGCATAAAAACACACAAAAATGTTATTACTTTCAATTACTAATTTTTGTGGTCGTCAAATATCGACAAATATAGCATAGCTTACTAATCATAAGATACATAATGTGGCCACGAAAGGTGTAAAAATAAAAAAAGGATGGGAAAGAGTTGGCGGTGCAAGTGGGAGTGGGGTAGCTGCAATTTTTTGCAAGTTGGGCAAAACATATTAATTGTGATTTGCAAATTGATGAGTTTTCTTATTCTTCAAAAAATAAAAATAAATATATATGTGCTTTTGCGATCCATCACGCCACTGTTTCCTATAATTTGATTGGACCTCTGCCCAAATTTCCGCTCGTTGGAGAATGGAGAGAACGAAAATAAAAATCGAATATAAATGTATGAATATAATTCACAAGTTGCAACAGATTAGTGCTTTATCGCTTCTTCTTATATGAAGAAAGGGTTCATGTGATGCTTCTAAGTTCTAACCCGAACCACCTATATCGGCGTACGGCCTTAATTCTGTTTTGGGTCGGGTTAAGGTAATTTATCATTTGTACTTAATTCATAATTCATTTTATTTTCTGTTGTCAATATCATCTAGAAGGTCGAAGACCAGAAGTATTGAAGAATTGTTTAAGAATTTTTCCAATAACTAATTTCCGGAAAAATCTTTCAAATTTGTGAAAAAAAAAATCTTTCAAATTGTGGAAATCATTTAGATAAAATTACTTTCTTTTTTAAGTCATGGCTTTTTTTGTATCATGGAGTTGATTCGTCCATGTTATAGGACATTTTAGAAAAACTGACTGCAGCATGTTTTGGATGTGAAAAATCTGCATTGGTGCACTTTGTTGATTTTTTTTTTTGGTATGAAAAATTTGTTGTAACATTTATAACAACCAACCATCGAATACACGTGTGCGAATAATCATTTACATTAAACCAGAAAAAGCATACTCTCCCGACTAAAGATCTGTATTGGTGAATGGTGGTGATATTTGATGATTTGTTATAACGGGTAAAGCATGCGATCCACAAAAGCGTATACAGACGCACACATTCACACAAAATGTAACTGATTGTACAAAGTTCACAATCGTACCAAAAAATTTGAAATTAGTTTTGTGACCCAAAAAAAAAGGTTTTAAACACCGGCCAAGGTTATTTTGCTTTTTAATAGTGAATGCATCATATATTATAATCGAACCAGCGATAATGGGCCTATAGCATTCGCCTCTGTGCCCAACTGGACCCGATCATTTATATGATCGCAATCCCAGCCTACGTGTAATAACTAATAGTAAGAATTACACGCATGCACGACGCATTTTCTTTTCTTCCTTTACGCCACACACGACACATTAATAACGTGATCCGTTAATGTTTTGTAGCATATCGAACCGGTATGGAAGTTAATTCTCACCAAGTCCACTAATGTTTTAGCTTTTTTTTGGCATGGGATCATGTATTTAAGATTTACTGATGTAATTCCTAAACTTTTTATTTCTTGAAATGATATTTACATTCTTATCAAAAAAAAAAAAAGTCCACTAAGGTTACTTTCAGTTGCTTCAACTTCTCTGGTCTCGTCGTCTCGTGTATTAATTAAAAAAAATTGCATATGTAAATTAATGGGTGATAATCGTAGAGATTACAGAATCGTTTTAAAGAAAAAATCAGCCAAAAAGACAATTGAACGGTGACAAGTGACTGAATTCCGTAAGAGACATTTTCTCCGATATATGCATCTAATTTTGATCAAACATGAACCAAATTCATCAATAAAATGGACTAAAATATGTGTTTTGGACGAAAGCTTTAGTAAAAATATCTTATACCATTCGTTAACAAAAAAACTTAAGTTCTTACCAATTCATATAGTAGTAAGTAGTAACACAATTTCTCACCAAAAAAAAATCATATAGTAACACAATTACCAAATCATACTCATTGTCATCTAATAATATAGATGGTGATGGTAATACTTTTGATTACCAGTATATATTAGGATTGATCCAACAAACTTCTTGATGAAACTGAACATTTTCTGAATTCTGAACAACGTTCTTAATAAGATAGACAGAAGATATACCACAAGAAATATGAGAAAATGATGAATTCCTACAATTAAAAAACTAAAACATAAACTATCAAATAAAGAAATTATAATAGATCAATGCATGTATCATGTCATAAGAATGAATTCAATGGTTTATTATTTAATTAATTGATAAAATATCAAAAGCATTACAATAATAATTTTATAGAATAATATTATGCGAAACATAACGTTTAAGTAGTTTTTTCTATCCCCGGATTCCTCTATCCCCCTACTAAAACAAAAATTTATAGAAAGACATAAACGTAGAAGAAAAAAGAAAACAAGAAAGAAAATAGATTTTCAAAAAAATACGAAGCAACGCAAATCGAATTTTGAGGTATCTTGAAGACAACGAATAGTATGAATGTGGAAACGCCAACAACTTAACCTTACGTTTACATATTCGATATTCTATTATTTGACCATCTCTAACCATATTTGTTGGATTATGAAAATCCAAACTGTCGCACGGAAATACCATAGTTACCCTTTTGGCTAACACCATTCTCAGATTTTCTATTATGCTTTTATGAAGAATGCCAAGGGGTATTCTCGGTAACACCAATTTAATCGATAGTCGCCTTCACTTGCAAACCAAGGGAGATGCGGAACTACCAACTTAGTTTTGTCTGACCCACTAGGCCACTACTTCTATTCCAGAAATTAAAAGTTATTATCCAAAACTATTTATGAAATTCGTTAACGAAATATATACAATTCTTTCTGATGACGTAACTGAAAACGACAATCGATTAATCACAAAACGCTGGTAGAACTTAGGAGCCAATAGAACACTTGAGTCGTGTCGTGACATGAAACACATGGCTACAAAGTTCTCCCAAAGTTTTTTTTGTAAAACCCGATCATTTGCTAAGCAAGTCCTAGACAAATATAAACACACAATCCCCTATAATATATAGAAAGAGATTACGGTCAGATTCCGTAACTATAGGTCAAATGCTTACCGTCAGATTCTAGAATCAGCGTCCGATTGCATTCACAATGGATAGAAGTTCTTTCGTTTTTTTGGTTAAATTATGGAGATAATGTATTTTTATCTCAAGAACATGTTTTTTTTTCCGTCAAAATGGAGGATTATATTAGAAGGTTTGAGAAATCGCTTTGCAGCGCGTTTGTTGAACAAAACTATGAAAATAGAAACAGGAGTTAAGAGGAATTTGTTGGTTTGCCAAAAGGTCAGCTGGTGTATTACTATTTCGATGGCACCAAATGAATTGACGATCTGTGAATCTTGACTTCCAACTTCGTGCTTCTCTTATCCAATTGAACATACCAAAGTTGAGTTTGTTGCCATTGAGCAGATCTGCAACTTCTTTGTTGTCACCTTCAAAACAAACTCTCTTGAAACCTTTGCTCCAACAGTTCTGCATTGAGTTAATTAAAGCTTGGAATTCTCAAGATCATGTTAATTGATGTTTTTTAGTGATTGGGCCTCCATATTTAAATCTCCTTTGACGACAATAGTTTCTTCTTTCTTAACACGGTGGACTGAATTCTTCCCAAGAATAATTAATGTTTTCTTTTCCATCAAGGTATTGAAAGTCTGAAACTATAGAAAACCTTTTCTTTTCCATAATATTATGATGACTGTATATTGACTACAACAAGAGTATACAATCCAATCAATTATGTAATATTTTAGATATAAGTGTGTTTGAACTTTGAAGATGCAGCCTCACCTTCAAAAAATTTCTCCGCTAGATTATTGGAAAAAATATAAAACAAATTAGTAACTTAATTTTTCAAAACATTAGAATCCTACTTTATATGTGTTTCAAACAAAGCACAATATGTATTCAAAGTTAAATCTCAAGTT